CAGGGCCTGTGCTTCTCAGATGGCCAAGGCCGGCCCCAGGGTTAAAAGCCTGCGCTCCCAACTCGTGGGCAAGGAGCAGCCACATGGCACATCGTCCTTTCTGATCATCACCCTCTCATTTGATCCACCAAGGACAGCGTGATGGATTTGGGAGAGCCCTGAAGCCAAAGGTATATTTCCATGAAAATCTGCAGGCTTTTATGAATAGAGACTTCAGAGTATATGGAAGAGAGGCGAAAAGGGAAAAACGATGGGGAAAGGAAGGAGAAAAGAGAGAGTATGGAAGGAATCGCTTTTTTAAAGGCACAGGTGTTGGAATCTTCCCACAGGAGAAAGGTTGGAAGTAACATGGTAATGGAGCCCCGAGCCCGTTTGTGACCTTGTCCATCAGCTGAGAGAAGAGATGGGAGGGGGAACTATTCGAGCTGTGAAGGGAAGTTTTGAAACTACACATGAGGAACTCTTTGACAAAGTCATTTCTTTTCCTTCTTTTTTTTTTTTTAATGTTTATTTATTTTTGAGAGAGAGACAGAGACAGAGCGTGAGCAAGGGAGGGAGGTCAGAGAGAGGGAGACACAGAATGTGAAGCAGGTTCCAAGCTCTGAGCTGTCAGCACGGATCCCGACGCGGGGCTCGAACTCACAAACCGTGAGATCATGACCTGAGCCAAAGTCAGACACTCAGACACCGACTGAGCCACCCAGGCGCCCCTAACAAAGTCATTTCTAAAATGGTCCAGGAGAGGAGCTGGGAAATTCTCAACTATGAGGATTAAAAAAAACAAAACAAAACACTTTAGCATACATACCCGTGTCCTAAGAACAGCATCCTCAGCAGAAGAAGGTCATGGAAGGCTTCGGTACAGTCCAGTGCCCTCAGGCAGGCAAATCTCTAAGCCCATCTTTTTCTCCCATGTGTTATCGTACTGAAATCTAAAAATGTCCAGTCATAATATCTCTTGCTTTTAATTGAAACCTAGTTTGCTTTTCACACATAAGGAGAGCACCTGCTCTCACACATCTTTAAAATCCCCTCACTATCGTGAAGACACTAACTGGAAGGGAAAGCCAAAGCAAACCTCCCTTCACCCACCTCTTAAACGAGTTAGCCTCGTAGCCGTTCTCCATAGGATCTAGTTCCTTCTGCCCCCTCCTCTGTAAAACTCTGCACATGTTCCGTGTCTTTTAAACCGTCAGGCAAATCAGGTAAGAACTTCCCCTAAGGAACTGCCCAGGCAGCACAAGGCAGAGCACTCTCCCCCTGGCCCTCACATCAAACATTCTGGGTTTCCTTTGACGACACCCGTTACAAGGAACTGTCACCAGCTTGCAGAGACGTGTAACCTGGAGAGCTATTCCCGGAACCCCCTGCTTATCCCGCCAGTTCCATTCTCAGTCTGAGGTGTTCAGTTTGTATACCTGGGTGATATGTGGCCATGCGTTTAGCCCTTTTTCTATTTGGTGAGACCCTATGCTCATTAGAACTGCCACCCGAGCCAGGCTCATGGTCCCTGCAGCCAGGATTGTTCTAACAGGAGCATCAGAAACCAATTTTAAGGAAACTTGGTTGTCTTCCCTGATGTGAACGTCAAAAGTTAAAGTCCCCTTCAGACGGCATTTTCCCCCTTCACTCCTCTTTACAACTGATTTCTTAGATTTCAATATTTTTAAACTGCGGTGCCCCTTAGGCATTACACGTCCCACAAGTTTAGTTTTGAACTGTCACCTTTCTCACTTATTGGTCCTATCTTACCTCTTTTAAGATTCCAACTCCCTCATCTCTAATTCTCGGATTCTAAGATTTGGAGATAAAATTCCTGTTAATCTGATCAAATACCTGAGACCTTCTGACTGGAGAGATTTTGATTGTATTTCACCTTAGGCTTCACCCTTCTACACAAAGTGTGTTTTGTTTTGGGTTCTTGTGGGCCATTCTGCCGCAGTGTCGTTCTCCACAGAAAACCCTGTTTCCCGTTCTGAGCAGGTCGTCGAGAAAGAGTCACTTAGAACTTCCATGCAAGATAGTCAGACACAAACTGGGCTCTCCAGAGTAGCACTGCCAACGACCTCCCAAATAAATGAAATACCGAAAACACGTCTAAAAACTTCTCTACCAGGATTGGGAATTTACAGTTGGGTTTGTTTGTTGATGATGACTCACTTTCACTTTAGTGCTCGGGCTCACATTAAAGCAAGGCTTGGATTCTCAGAACACACAGTCACCAATGGGGAGTGCCAGCAGCTCGGGAGCAAATTTCCACGACAGGAGGCAGCCAACCCCGATCCCAGATGCGGCACCTAATCCACAAGTGGTCAGTGAAGAGTTGTGGGATTTAGAGCAGGCAGAAAACTGGGTAAAGGTGGGAAATTACAATATCCAGGATTCTTTTTGAGATACAGATCTTGGCTCCTTTTCTCAATATCCTGAACATTCAGTCCAAATTCACAGGCAGGCCAGGATGGTAACCATCTATGTATCATAGGAGCCATTCTTGAAAATCATTCTGTACGCAAGCAACCTCCATCTGGGTGCCCCCTCCCCCCGCCTAAATTGCCCCATAAATGGTGTACCCTTTGCATTCAATATTGTCCTCTCTGGGCTTCTCTTAGAATGCCAGTAGTTCTGGATCAGTTTAACATTCCCAAATTATGACAGAAATAGGAACAAGGGAAGAGACCTTCGAGGGAGGAAAGTACCCTGAAGAGCAGTTGAGTTGCTGAATTCAGACTGGAAGTTATACTCACATTGGCTTGGGGAGTTTGTCAAGCTCAGGCCAAGAGTCTAGCTGGTCTGGCATTTCCTTCTGCATTTTCTGGGGGCTGAGGTTGATAGCTTCCCACTCTTGGTACAGCTTTTTCTTTTCAGTTTTGGCTGATTTCTTCTTGGGATAAAAATTCCATATGCACAGAGCACAGTCTGAAAGAAATTTTGGCATCTCTGAGCTTCCACAAAGCACCAGACACCCAAAGACCTGACAGTTTGTGGAAAGAGATGAGCAGTGTCTGTTTGTTTCTTTCCCCTAGAGGGATACAAGAGGGAGGCACTTCTACTATCCAGAGGTAGTGAGATGGGCTTCAGGAAGAACTTACGAAGAGAAAGATGAGCTGGCCCTCAGATGGTCACTCAGTTCCTCAGCTACCTTAAATTCTTCTTTTTTAAATGTTTATTTATTTTTGGGAGAGTGAGAGTGAGCGGGGGAGGGGTACAGAAAGATTGGGAGAGAGGATCTGGAGCAGACTCTGCGGTGACAGCAGTGTGCCCGATGCGGGGCTTGACCTCACCAACCACGAGATCATGACCTGAGCCAAAGTTGGACCCTCAACTGACTGAGCCACCCAGGTGCCCCAGCTACCTTAAGTCTTAAATGAAAAAGATAAGTAGTCACCTCCACTTGAGGTATAACATAGAGGCATGGAGGTGGGTTGAAAAGTCCTCTGAAATGCTTACCATCCCTGACTCACTAGAGGGATGCTATTGCTGACTTAAACCTACAATTAGAAGCGATGTCCCTTCTGACTTCTAGGTGGAAGCTATCATCCGGATTGCCAGTATTTTGGCAAGTAATTGATGGAAAGGACAGTTATTGGGGTCTTTAGCCAAGAGATGTGGCCAACTGGTCACCACCTGGTGCACCAGAAGTAGCAAACACACCAGCACACTTCCCTTGAGTAGCGTCTCCCAGCAAGCTTGCTCTTTGGGTGTGGCAACCAGGGTTCCTGTGGAACACATCTTGGTCCAGAGAAAGAGGAAGAGAATTTGCTCCCAGTCTTCAGTGTCCAGATGAGGACAGCTGCCTCAAAGACTGCTTTCTTCTCGAGTTTGTTTTATTTAGTTTAAAAAAATTTTTAAATGTTTATTCTATTTTTTAGAGAGAGAGAGAGAGAGAGAGAGAGAGAGAGAGAGAGAGAGAGAGAAAGCAGGGAAGGGGCAGAGAGAGAGGGAGACACAGGATCCGAAGCAGGCTCCTGGCTCTGAGCTGTTAGCCCAGAGCCCGACGTGAGGTTCGAACCCACGAACCGTGTGATCATGACCGGAGCCAAAGTCGGCGCTTAACTGACTGAGCCACCCAGGCGCCCCAGGTTTGCTTTATTTATTAAAGAAGGTAAAAGGGCTTTGGCTTATGATTTTCAACAAAGCCTAGGTCATACCCAAAGGAGATGCTAATGGGCCCATTATTAACAAGAGCTATTTTTTGTGTGTGAGATGGTAAGACTTACTCCATAGTTTAGACATGAGCATGGGGTCCTATACATCAAAGGGTCAAGGATATCCTCTGAGATCTTCTAGTTTCCTTTACTAATAATGGGTTCCGATTAGCTGAAATAACCCCATTTTGGATAAGTGCTGTTTATTTCTTTAGTCTGTTCCACCTAAACTTACTTAGGCTTATGTGAAGCTTTGTTTATTTGAAGTCCTACTTTTAGCTCCTCTTAACTTACATGTTTGTATCTTCTGTGTTTGGTGAATAAGTCTGTATTCACTCTTCCACCTTTTTTTTTTTTTTCATGATTTTATAGACTCATCATGTTCTTCTTCACACATCTTTCTGGATCAGGAGTTTTCACCATGGATGGGGGGAGATGTAGGAGAGGGAGAAACATTCATCAGAAACTTCTGGAGGGCTTTTCCAAAGACAGCGGGTCTGCTTCCCCCTCCCCTGAGCATATCAAAACCTTGGCTAGGGAAATGTGTATTTAAAGAATTTCTACATGTAATTCTAAGGTGAATTCCCTCCATCCTTGTAACCACTGTGCTGAACTGAAGATCCCTAGTCCCCTGCTTCTTCATAAGGCACGTCTTTCATTACAGCAATAGCTCGTGTTCGCCATCTGGGTGACCTAACATTTCCATTCATGTGATACCGATAGAGGGTGGGGATTGCACGAACCTTTGCGGTCATAAAATTTAAGTTGGTACTTAAATCTGATGCCCAGAAAACTATTGGACCCTCTCTCACGCAGAGCAGCCTTATCCTTCTTTTTCACTTGCGTTTCTCTCAGCAAGTGGCCGTCTCCCCGGACAGACTCTTCAAGTGACTCAACAAGCAGAATGGCAGAGGCCAACAACAGCTTTTCGGAGGGCTTCATCCTGATGGGTATATCTGAGCATCCCCAGCTGGAGATCGTCTTTTTCATAGTCATTCTCTTCTCTTACTCGCTGACCCTAGTTGGGAATTCGACCATCATCCTGCTCTCCTGCCTGGATGCCCGGCTCCACACCCCCATGTACTTCTTCCTCAGCAACCTCTCCTCCCTGGACCTCGCTTTTACTACCAGCTCGGTCCCCCAAATGCTGACCAACTTATGGGGACCAGATAAGACTATAAGCTATGCCGGCTGTGTGATCCAGCTCTATGTTTTCCTCTGGCTAGGGGCCACTGAGTGCATCCTGCTCGTGGTGATGGCATTCGACCGCCATGTGGCAGTTTGCCAGCCCCTGCGCTACACCGTCATCGTGAGCCCTCGGCTCTGCTGGCTGCTGGCTGCCATTGCATGGCTGGGCGGCTTGAGCAACTCCATGATCCAGTCAACGTTCACTCTCCAGCTCCCATTGTGTGGGCACCGGAGGGTGGACAACTTCCTGTGTGAGGTGCCTGCCATGATCAGACTGGCCTGTGGAGACACAAGTCTCAATGAGGCCGTGCTCAATGGTGTCTGCACCTTCTTCACTGCCGTCCCGCTGAGCATCATCCTGATCTCCTACTGCTCCATAGCTCGGGCAGTGCTGAAGATCCGCTCAGCTGAGGGACAGAGAAAGGCCTTTAATACTTGCCTTTCCCATCTGGTGGTGGTGCTCCTCTTCTATGGGTCAGCTATCTACGGGTACCTCCTTCCGGCTAAGACCAGCCACCAGGGCCGGGGCAAATTCATTTCCCTCTTCTACTCTGTGGTCACCCCAACGGTGAACCCTCTCATCTACACTCTGAGAAACAAGGAGGTAAAGGCGGCACTGAGGAGGCTGCTGGGAAAGGGAAGAGAACTCGGCTGAGAGGAGGGAAAGCTCCATCATGTATCCCCTCTTCTTCTCTACACACTTTTTCTCATTCTCGCTCTGGCCAGATGAACATGAGGAGGACTAACCCTACTACGGCCAAGACGTGTTCCCAGTAGCCCTAAGCTGTTAAGGCATGGCTAGTGTTGTTTCTAGTACTCTACACTTGGTCACTAAACATCCCGTGGACTACAGGTAACGGAGTAGATGTGTCCCATCAACAGCTCACGGGTTGTTGATTTAGTACAGACCTGGCTCACTGTCTCTATGGTCCACATACTATTTGTTACCTGTAATAGAATATTACAAATGTTTATATTTCTAGAGATTTCTGTGCTTTTCTTTACTTAAAAAATTTTAATGTTTATCTAATTTTGAGAGAGAGAAAGAGAGAGAGAGCGAGCAGGGGAAGGGCAGAGAGAGAGGGAGACACAGAATCCGAAGCAGGCTCCAGGCTCCGAGCTGTCAGCACAGAACCCGACGCGGGGCTCGAACTCACAAACTGCGACAATGTGACCTGAACCAAAATCAGATGCTTAACTACCTGAGCCTGAGTCACCCAGGCACCCCACTGTACTTTTCTTTAAAAAGCACTGCCACTTGCAATATCTATATACAATGATGCTATGCTTTGATAAAATCAAGGCAGATATGATTAACCCCAAGTGAAAATTCAAACAATTCATCTTTGTACCATATCCATTCATCACTTTTCTCATCTCTCCTTCTCTCTTCCCAGTATGCCCGTCTGTCTACCCATACTTCCTACCTATATGTTCCTTTGTCGTCTTACTTACCCTGTCCTTTATGTCTACCTCCCACCTTCTGCTTCATCTAATATTTAATGTGAATAAAGAAAGACTATTTTTCTCTCAAATAAACCTATTTGTTTAAATTGCCTCCTCCTAAAACCCAACCCTGAGACTTGCTACCAGCATTTGGATATGTTAGTATGGTTGCTGGATTATGAGAGGCTCTGAGATTCCTTAAGCATGTTTGAGCACCAAAAAAAAAAAAAAAAAAATCATCTATCTATGAAGCATGTCCTCTACCTCCAGATCTAGTTTTGCAGCCGAATTAAACTTGTGAAATGAACCGCTTTTAGGTTTACCACTTCGGAGTTATCCTGTTCCTTGGACAATGCCAACTAAATAATGACAAATATCCCCCTTTTCACATATCTAAAATGCCTCCCCTCAAAGACATCTAGTTATAGTATCCCATCGTGAATTGGTTTTTCCAGTTGTAGACGGGAGCCATGACCTATATTCTCAATTTTCCACTCAGTAATATTTGAAGTGTGTCTCTACTGGCATTATCCTCGTCATTTGTCAGAGTCTTGAGACTGGCAAGTTCACAGTTTTTATTTATCAGCACACTTAGAGTAGATGAAGTTCTCAGAAGATACAATCACAATAACTAAGCTCTTAAGGGAATTTATAAACTAGAATGCCAGTGGATTCATTTATGAGAACTTTAACCCCCAAGTGGACTGGGCAGTCATATTCTTAATTACTAAATAACTTGGGAGAAAACAAGAGGAAAATAGGGATTCCTTAAACACTTTGGAGCAATTCAGGTATCCCTATCAAAAATACAGAATATTTCGAATCTAACTTGATGTTAGGGGCTAATAAAACACAGGGGATTGGAGGAGGAAAAGCGAACTGCCATGCTGGGTTTCCTCCCACAATCACTCTGCGCATGCGCTCTCTCACTCTTAACAATGTAGCTGTCTAGTTACTCTGCCCTTGGAATAGGAGGCAGCAGATAACCTAGAAAATTCATAATAATAGGAGCTAAGAGGCATTTTGGTGTACTCTGCAATTGATGAGATATGGTAGCTAGTGGATATGATGTCTCCAGCACTCCCTTTCGTCATCTATAAAATGAATACAATAGCCAGGAGCAACGTTGTAAGGACCGAACAGATAATATATGTGGGAGAATGTTTAGTGAAAACTGCTCAGTGTCATATTTAATCAAAGTGTAATTGTTTACTAGGGAGGTTTATCAGTCTGTTTCACAACCCACCTCTTTTCATTTATATCCCGATCCAGAAAACCCCTTCAATGAGCTACCAGTGTCTTCATAAATGATGGAAGGATGGAGACGCCAGAGTAAAGGCAGAGACCATAGAGAAGACTCCACCGTTACTTCCCTCAAACTCCACATCCCAATCTATCTGCTCCCTCTTCAAAATATATCCAGAATATCCCAATCGAGGATAACACACACATATAAAAAAAAATTAGGAAAGTTGGGCCCCTGGGTGGCTCAGTCAGTTAAGCCTCCCACTGCAGCTCAGGTCATGATTCCATGGTTGTGAGTTCGAGCCCTGCATCTGGCTGTCTGCGCTCAGCACAGAGCCGGCTTCAGATCCTCTGCCTCCCTCTCTCTCTGCCCCCCACCCCACTCACACACACACTCTCTCTCTCTCTCAAAAATAAATAAACATTTTTTTAAATCAAGAAAGTATTTCAATGTCCACCAAAATGGAAATGATTGAAGATTGATTATATTATGGTACATGATTAAACACAGCAGCCTAAAAATGAAAATGCGGTGGATATATTGAAATAGGAAGACTTCAAGATAAAGTAAGTGGGCAAAGTTGTGTATGCAGGTACAGGAAGATAAACACACAAGTAACAGTTATTTCCTCTATATAGAGACAGAGTGTTGCTTGTGAAAAAAGGAACAGAAGAGATTTCCTTTTAATATGACAATGATTTGGTACTCACGGAATATTAAAAAATGAAACAGGGAAGAAAACACTGGGTTGGAAGAGAGTTCTAGCCCTACTTCTGTCTTTAGGCAGTCACTTGAAAGCTGTCTTTGTTTTCCCTTCTAGAGAATGAAAATAGTAATACTGTTGACTTCATAGTGTTACAGGAGGGTGGGAGAGACGCCGGTCCTTGTCTCATAGAGTCGAAGAATGAATCTCGTGGACAACAGAGTGGGCAAAGACACAGAGTGATAGAGTTTATTGAAGGAAAGTATGAAGCTCTTGAGAGTGAGAGGGGTCCCGACTAGGTAGCCGCTGAGGATTTTTGTCCCTGGCTTTTTATTGAGACCTTAACAGAAGGTTTGTGAGACTGCACGAATGGCATCTAGGCCGGCAGGTCCAGAATACATTTATCTCACCCTTTCCCACCCACCCCCCAAATTCCGCTGCTGCTGCTTCTTCAGGCTCCCACTTGTAGGTGCATCCTGCCTCCCTGAAGGTCCTTTAGGTCTCCCTGCCTAAAGTTAACATTTCCGACTCAACAGGATGGTTGTTAGGATTCCTTAGTATGAACGTGTTTACAACGGGGCTTAGCATACCGCTAGCGTGACGGTTTTTGATCACTGTCGCTGTCACCTGTGAAAAACCCACTGAGCAACACCAAGGTTAGAAAGAGAACCCGTCAAAGTGTAACAAGCAGAACCACCTGGCCAACATAACAGCAGTAACCAATAGGAGAGCGTTAACAAGCGCCCAAATCCCGCCCCCACCCCGCGTCCTCTCCAACACCATGAATGGTCC